AGAACCAAGGATGAAGGAAAGAGGAAAAAAGTAAAACCGTAAATGAAATTAACAGAGTGCTGCAAGTGAGGGAGGATGAGTTGCAGATTCCTAACCTATCTGCAAGGAAGGAAAGCAAGTAGGTTTAATAGAGGCAACACAGGGCTGAGTGTGGTGGCTCATGCCTCTAATCCCACTACTTTGGGAGGCTAAAGCGGGAGGATTGCTTTGAGGCCAGAAGTTTGAGACCAGCCTGGGCAATATAGCGAGACTTTGAGACTTTATCTCCACAACAAAATTTAAAAATTACGGGGTATGAGCCGGGTGCAGTGGCTCACGCCTGCAATCCTAGCACTCTGGGAGGCCGAAGCGGGCAGATTGCTCAAGGTCAGGAGTTCGAAACCAGGCTGAGCAAGAGTGAGACCCCGTCTCTACTATAATAGAAATAAATTAATTGGCCAACTAATATATATAGAAAAAAATTAACTGGGCATGGTGGCGCATGCCTGTACTCCCAGCTACTCCGGAGGCTAAGGCAGCAGGATTGCTTGAGCCCAGGAGTTTGAGGTTGCTGTGAGCTCAGCTAAAACGCCACGGCACTCACTCTAGCCTGGGCAACAAAGCGAGACTCTGTCTCAAAAAAATAAAAATAAATAAATAAATAAAAATTACTGGGTATGGCAATGGGCATCTATAGTCCTAGCTGACCCAGGAAGATTGCTTGAACCCAGAAAATGAGTTATGATCGTATCACTGTACCAGCCTGGGCAACAGAGTGAGACTCTGTCTCTAAAAAAAAGAGAGAGAGAGAGAGAGAGAGAGAGAGACGACACTTCAGTCTTTTTATATAATATTATCGTAATAGTGAAACCTTAAAAAGAAAGAAAAAGGGACAGTAAAAGTTAAATTGGTCAATAGTCCTAACCGGAAAGTGCAAGCAGGCAGTTGTAGCACAACAGAAATCTGTGTGGGGATTAATGAATGAGGTAGGAAAGCCTTCTAGAAAAGGACCCTGGGAAAGGATCAGAAACCACAGGAACCATGCTGTTGAGATGTTGAAGAACCGGTGGAAATTTAAGAGAGAGAATCTTGAAAGTCTTGGGATTTATTTTTTGATTTGCAAATGTATTGAAATGATGAGTACTATAGAGAAAATACATGTTTAGTTGTTTTGAAAATAGTCTTTACAGAAAAGAATATAATTATGACAAGTTGGGACATTCCTGGAAATTTCCAGATCGTTCCCCATAGTCAGAAGAATGATTAAGAGAGAATCTGCTACTCGTTATGAGGAAAGATGGAAAATTTTGAAGGACAGGCTGATTATGTAAGTTTTAGACTGTGGTGTTTAAGACTGTTGCCGTGATATTTTAGTTATTAATAACAATTTGAGGAAACTACTCACTTCTGGAGAAACATTTGGCTCTAATGAGAGAAATGCCACTGTTTGTGAATTCCCAAGTGGATATAAGAAGCCATTCACTTGCTAAGCCTCTTAGGGAAGCCAGAGCCGGTTTTCCTCTTAACAAGCTGTTGACAGCGTCTGATCAAGGTACCACCTGGAACATGTTAGCAGTACAAAAGAGTGGACTGGAGAGTCAGACCTGTATTTAAATCCCTTTATGTCACTCACCATGTGACCCTAGCAGATTACCCATGGAAAATTTCTAGGGTGTAAAGGTTGTTTTACACACACACAGTAGCTATGGTTCTTACTGCTTGGATGGTAGGAACTTAGGATTCTGAATACTTAACTTCCAGTACTAACAACAGCCACAAAAGCTTACAATTTCAGAGCACTTACTATGTGCCAGGTACTATTGTAAATGCTTCACATATATTATCTCATTTAATTCTCAAAAAGCCCTACAAGGTAAGCACTACTAATAAATTAGCCCCATTTTACAGAAAAGGAAGCCAAGGTCCAGGGAGGTTAAGTAACTTGCCTAAAGTGGCCTTGTAAGCAACACAACTGGGCTTTAAACCCAGGCAGGCTGAATCCATAGGCCAAATTGCCTTGCCCTGCCTCCTGGCACCTTCCAGTGGCAGGGAGACACAGAAAGCAACACTGAATCCTGGCACTTCCCAACTCTGGCTCCTAATCCATGCTCCTCAGTTTTCTTAGAGTCTTTGAATGATTTTCAGAGTTTCCAAAAGCCTCAATGGAAACAGACAAACAGGCAATTAAACCACAAGTTTCTTTAGATTGGAATCCACTATTAACAACAGGTTAGCTCAGGTTTTGAGGAAGCTCTGGTTGGCAGTTGCATATCTAAAAACATCGCAGGTTTTTGTTTTATAAGTGGAAAGATGAATCATTACTTAATAAATGTAATTTAGTGGAGAAGATCTTTCTGAACATGTGGCCTATGGAGAGAGAATAAAGGGTGCTTGGCGTTGAGGGGGTTGAGAGCTGCTAATGTACATGTGTATGCATGTTGCCCAAACTGTCAGCCTTCAAAACTGCCTTTAAGTTACACAATTCTTTAATTTGATGTGCCATGCAGTCAATATATTTTTCCTTGATTATTTAAAATGGTTTACTAGCGTTGTATTTAATATTGGAATCTACTTTATTCACCAAAATGATCATATTCTTAAAACGTGGTGAGGAACTGGGATGCAGAATTGCAAGCACTGTATTCCAGGCCGAAAACAGGATGTAAGTCACGCAAAGAACAGACTTTTTAATTCTTTTAAGTTGTAGCTTTGAAGAGAAGATTTTCTGAAGAAAATTTTAAAACAAGGTTCAATGCTATCAAAACACACGGAACGTGGATGATTTTTTAAAAAACAAACACCTGTACATGAGTGCACTAGGCTATTAGCTCCACTAGGCAACAGTGGAGTTTGTGGCAGCCCCTCAGTAAGTATCTTTTCAACGAGCAGGCCCTAGATCCCTGCCGGCAGTCAGGGCTCTTTATTTAAGGAAGAGGACTGGGTCTTCTTCGTGTAATAGCTTCTATATCACGTCGGAAAAACCTGGGCCTCCTTCCCATGGCTTTCCCACAGCCATGGGAAAATACAGGTGACACCCTATTCCTGAGAATTTGATGCCACTGAAACTGCACAGGACGTCCTCCGAATCGCGTCTCTCTCGAGTGTGCGTGGTCTGGATCGGAGCTCGGGGACCGTTCTGCGGACCAGGGCCTTGTTCCGTCCCTCGGCTCTGCGGCTCTGCAGCCCTGAGTACGTTGTCCTCCCGCGAGGAGGACGAGGCCGCTGCCCCTGTGGGCCTGGGGCCTCGCTAGGCCGTCGCGGGCCCCCCGCCGCCCTCCCGGGCCCCCCGCCGCCCTCCCGGGCCCCCCGCCGCCCTCCCGGGCCCTGTCCTCGGCGCGGCGGTCCCCCCAGCCCCCGGCGCGCGGACTGAGGGTCGGGCCGACCTCTTCCCGGACGGGCTGCGTCCTCTGCCCGCGCCGGGGGCGGGCCGGGCCGGCAGAGCCGAGCCGCCGGCGTCCATTTTCTGGGCGGTGCTGCGCTGCGCTCGGACTCGCGGGTCCGGAAGCGCCATGGACCCCCGGGGAAACGCGCTGGCGGAGCCGAGCCCCGTAAGTGCCCTTCGCAGGGTCTTGCTCCGTCCGGGCCGGGAGGGCGAGGCGCGGCCTGCAGGCGCGGGGCGGACCGCTCCTCTCCCCAGGAGGGAGCTTGGAAACTGGGCTGGGGAAACACTCCAGCACGGCTGCAAGCTCCGCGAGCGCTGGGAAGCAGAGCTGCTGCAGCGAGCAAGAGCCCGCAGGTGCCCGCACTCCGGGTCCGGCGCCCTGAATGGGGAGGGGTGGGGTTCAGCTGCAGAGTCTGGGCAGGTTGCGCCGCATCTAGTGGCCCAACTGCGCGGCTGTGCTGCAGGGTGGGGGCCGGGGAAGAAATGGGCTGGGGACGTGGTGGGCTCAGGTCCAGCAGGCTCAGGAACTGCGTTGACAGTCGCACTTTCCAGTCCCGGGGTTGGGAATCGAACCCCAGTCGTGACCCTACCCGTAAGTGATAATTTCCTTGGTGCAACACCAAGCCCCTTGAATTGAACGGGACGTGCAAAGGCAGGGCCCTGCCCAAAGGGGTTTGCAATCTCAGCCTCCTACTTCTGTCGTAGATAGGTCTGCACTGTTGGTAAAACACAACCGCAGGCTGGTAGCCACTTCTTTGCAGAGTACATAACAAATCACTTGAGATTTTAGTCTGTCCGCGGTTCTACTTTATAACTCCTGCTCTGCTATAGGTAAGTGCCTGATTCCGTTCTGGACATTGGCCCTAATGGAATATCCCTCGTAAGGATCCATTATAGAAGATATCTGTTATGGTGCCTTATGCATATTTTAAAGGTTAAAGACTTTTCTCCTAACTATGAAGCTCAACTACTCCGTCAGATTCTCATGATTAAAAAGTACAGAAGGGTTGTGTTGTGGTTTCAGAGAAACTGCTAGCTATGTACTGTATCTAAGCGCTGTGTTTTTCCAAGAGTAGGGACCTATTAGAAGATTGTGGAATCAGTTTAATGGGTTGCTACTGGAAATTTTTTTTAAAAGGTGTAGAATATATAGTACACTACAGAGAAGAATAAGAAGTGTGCATTGCAAACAGTAAGGGTAAGCATGGTTTTATGAGACTTTTGGTTTTCAGTTTGTATAATGTAATTTTTTATTTCTGCTGTAGAATGTGGCCAAAAAAATTTTTTTTTCTTTAAACAGTGGGTCACTATCAACAAAGTTTTTGAAATCCTGACGCTGGTTAATAGCCCAGGCTTTGGAATCATTTGAATCTGGGTTTGAGTCCCAGCTCTCATATAAACCATCTGTGTGACCTTGAACAAGTTCCGTGACCTCTCAGAGTCTTTGTAGCTGTAAAATGGGGAATGTTCCCTACAGCTGAGGGGTGTCATGAAGATTGCATGAGGCCACATACGTCAATCACTTTGTGCAGTGCTTGACTTATGGTAGGTGTTCAATATATGCTAATTGCAATTGCTGAAACATCAAATCCTAGCAGCTAGTCATGGGACACTGCACTTTTCTTTTTTCTCTTTTTAGATCTTGATGTGGAGGAGATGGAGGATGCAGAACCAAGGATTTCCAAGTGATTTCTTCCAAAGCACGGGAAAATAACTCTGTTAAGGCTGGTCTGTTCTAACTGAGGTAACTAAATTTACATCTCTCCTTAGTCTACATGCAAGAGGAAGTGGTTTTTTTCTGAGGGACTCCCAAAGGGATGTGATTCATGACAGGTTTTGGGATTACAAAGTGACGGTGACACTCAAGTGATCTGTTATAAGGAGACATGATGTGTGAGGTCCCTGTGATGAAGGGGAACTAGGTGAACAGGCAGGGCTTTAGAACAACTGATTTCTCCTTCCAGTTCTACCAACAACTGTCCTGGGAGCTTCTTGATGTCTCTTCATAGATCTTTGGGCCAGAAGCACCCACCGACATCACTGAGGTCCAGAGGGTTTAAATGACTTCTAAGGGTTACCCACTGGGTCAGGGTGAAGGCAGGACTGGAACTTGGATCTTTGTTGCTCAGCCACATAGGTGGCTTCAGAGCCTGCTGTTGGGTAAGGACCTTGCTAGGCATGGAGTGAAGAGCCCACACCTGGGACATTTGAGGTTCTGGTAGACAAGTACTGACAGCACAGCACACTATGCTCTACCTTAGAGGCATGTACAAAACCCCAGATGGGAACAAGAGCAACTACCATTTATCAAGTATTTGTGTGCGTGTGTGCACTAAGCAATGCATTAAGGGCTTTAAGTGCAGTATTTTTATTTACTCTTCACAATATCCCTATGAGGTGAGGAAGAATAGGTGTGAAGTATTAAACTGTAGAAATAGAGACAGATCTGGAAGGCTTTGCATCTCATACTACTTTTATGGAGTATATTCTGTATGCAGAGCACTGCGCTAGGGTGGCAGAGTGCCCACCCTGGAGGAGCTTGCCGCCTAATCCAAAGAGGCCTGGTCAGATGGACGATGCCTGCCGTGCACCACGCCCCCTATCCGCTCCAGCGGTTACAGGGTGCACTCTGCCACAGGGACGGACCAGAGTGAAGGACATACCAAAGTTCTTGTCTCTCAATTCACTATTTCATTTTTTCCACTTTAACATACACTTCCACCCATCTATTAAAACTTATGCTTTCAATTTATAAACAGTAGTAAGGCTTTCTCTGAATTCATTTTTTTCATCAACAAATGTGTATTAAGCTCCTTCTACAAGGCACTTGGGAGCTCAAGACCAAACAGATTGTTTTTACAATCATGATATTAGCCATGTCCAGTCTCTTGGCAAAGAATTAGTTGTTGAACTGTTAGCAATTTTCTATTTTTAATATGCTGGGATTTCAGCTCCAAGGATGTTGGAGATTGACCCCTGTGTAGGAAGTGGATATATAGGAAGGCCATTTTAAAACTCTGAAACTCCTTAGAAAGGAATTTCTCACTTCTCTTTTATTTTTGATTTTGCCATTACTGTTACCTTCTCATAGAGGCCTTTTTTGGGGACACTTAACCCATAATCAGTGAAAAAGAAGTTTGGCAAGGGGGCTTTCTTTGATTTGAAATGTTCTCCTCTTTTAGCTTTTAGGCCACATCCATGGGCTATCCATGGGTGTTCAAAACTAAAGCAACTTAAGAAATGTTTTTGTTTAGTGTATAAGGTAGAAAGTTAGAGATAGCTCCAAGAATTGCATTAAGCAACAGAAATCAGATTGCAATACTTGAATGCTACTTATAATAACTTAATCCATAAATAAAACATATGCTTCGTATACTTTGAGTTCTATAAACATACAGTAAATATTTGAGTACCTATTATGAGTATGACACTGTGCTAGAGAGAGTGGAGAATTCAGCAACAATGAAATCTGCTCCCTTCCCTCTCAGATCCTGTTATGTAGTTGAAGAAATAAAATATACAGAAATAATCATTGGTAAATGCAAAAAGAAGATATTGGGTAATTTGAAGAGGAAGAAGTCTGTTTTATCCCTAGGGGTCAAGGGACTTTCTTGAGAAAAATCTTTTATGCCTGTCCTTTAATGATGTGGAGTTTCAGTAAAAGACATGGGAGGAGGCATTTGAGGTAGGAGGAACAGTGGGAGATGCAGAAAGCAGGGAGCATACTCAGGGAAAAGTGCTGAGCCCAGCGGAGCCATAACTGATCCATACAGGCACCAAGTGGGAAAGCAAGCTGGAGAACATTCAATGCTGAATGATAATAGTCTTGAATGCCAACTAGGAAATTTGAATATATGAACCAATAGATGTCGTTAAAGACATTTGAACAGGCGTGTGTTGTGTCTGTACTTTTGGCACTTGCTCTGTAAGGAGCCCTGGTGAGACTGGGAGGGAGGCAAGGTGGAAACTAGAGGCAGGGATAGAAGGCTACTACAGTCCACCAAGGAAGAGGGGGTGTGGCAGTAGTGGGATGGGGGAAGGTCCTAAATGGTAACAGGGAAATGGGAAAGGAACAGATGCAAAGGGAGGAACTGACAGAAGCCAATGTCTCAGTGGAGAAGCAACAGCTAAAGCTGGCACTGATGGGGGCTTTGCGTGCTGCAGGAATGCCAGAGCTAGTTTGGGAGTCATTGGTGTATAAGAAAAAGTCAAGAGGTGGGAGAAGAGATTTTCCAGAGAGTCAGTCTAGGGAAAAAAAGGTTGAGGATGGAGCCTTTTGAGAAAAGAAAGGAAGACCTAGGGAGGCTGAGAGAAGTCTGGCAAGATAGCAAGGAAGAACCAGAGAGGACATGACTCCAGAAGTCAGCAGAAGGCGTTTCCCAATGGAGGGAGCCAGGCATGTCAGACCCGGGAAGGGGAGGGATGAGTTTTGGAAGACCGTAGGATTGACAAATGCTAGATTACACATTTGTTGTCCTTTGTAAGGTAATGTGACTTATAGAATGAATATTAAGTGGTTCCATTTTCATAAATTTGTAGCTTGCACAAATCAAGAATCACTGTTAAATTTAACCCTAGCAAGCCCCCAAACACACTTAGATTTCTAAAATTCAGGCAGTTAAATTTGGGTTTGATGGCAGTCATACTCTGTATTCCGTTGTCAGCAGACCAAAGAATATCTCTTAATAGTCCTTTCAAAACTGTGTTTGTTGATACAAAAGGTTTCTAAAAGTAATTTAATTCCATTGCCTTTTACCATATGGCTATTGTATGACGTACATGTGTCTGTGTGTTTTCACGTGCATGTGACTTAGTACAATGGAATGTGGAGACTGGGGTCAGATAAATCTAGTTTCACAACCTAGCTGGGCCATTTCCAGACTTGTGACTTTAGAAAAGTTACTGTCTCTTTATGCCTAACTTTTTCCATCTATAACTCATACAGGATTATTTTGAAGATTGAATAATATATAATTTGCTCAGGGTCTATACCAGAGTAGGCAATTAATAAATGTTGGTTCCCTTCCCCTCACAACCTTGTATAGACATTAAATTTATACATAATGTACTCTACACACAAAGCTTTATTTTTGACTCATTTAATGTGTTAATTTTATCATTGAAAGCACACACCTCCCTTTATAGCTGATCAGTAGATTTGGGGGTGCAGGGGGCTGTGGAATCTGCATTTTAAATAAGTGCTGCTGGGCTGATGCTAAAGATTAACAATTTGTCAATTTCTGAGAGGTAGAGAAGGGGATAAACCTGAGACTTCATAGGCTCACTTCATAGGCTCATTTTGAATCCTGTTTCTATTAAGGACATGTCTATGCTCAAAAGTTTTATAATTGCATCACTAATGTTTATGGATTATATCTATAATCAGATAAAAACAAATGAATTCTAGATAGTCAATAAATGGCGGTATTATTGCACCTGCATCCCCCATTGCTATCTGCTGTGTGACCACAGCAGTACTGGGTGACATGCAGCCCTAAACCAGTTTCTTTTTCTGTGGAGGAAGTGATGACACTCTGTCCCTATGCCCAGAGTTTGTAAAACCAATGTAACTTGAGTAGTTAGCAACATTATATGGTGACAACACTGCATAGTCATGCCATTAAGATATTTTGATACATTTATCTATCTGACTCTGTGTCTTCTGGTGGACAGACATCACTGTCACCATATTATTTCCCTGATTCTCTGCATGTTAAAATCGTATAGTTTTTAGCCTAAAGTTCATGTTGTTCATCTATCCCAACCTCGTTTTATAGATGAAAACGTATTCTTAGTCCTAGCTCTCTTCTTTGCTTATTCACAACAAATGATTGAGACATACAGACATGTTTGGTGTTTAAGCCAGGTATGGAGGATAGATATAAAACATTTGTATATGTTGAATTGTGCTTTATGTTCTCTATAAATAATGTAAAAATAAGATGACGTAATAGGAATGTGTTTATTAAAACTATATGGAGTCATTTTAATATGTTGTCGGCATCCTCTTGCTGGTTTGGTCTTTTGGAGCAGGATGCTGAGGGCCTGGCACCTTTCCCCAAAACGGGATTTCTCTCTCTTTACCCGCAGCCCCCAAGGGAAGAAGATGGACCTGACATTCGTGGAGTTAGTTCTACACCTTATGTGCATTATGTCAGCCATTTTATTGGAACCTTAACCCGGTGTGGTGGCAGTTGAGGCAAAAAGAGGCTCAATAGCAACAGCCAGGGTTGTAGAGATGAGAGTTTCACGCCCTGGGGTCTGTCTGACTCAGCCTCTTCTCTCTCTACCCCAGCCTGCCTCCCTAGCCATATAATGAGGGTTTGAAACAGATATTTGTTCCTGATTTTAGCTCAGAGACTTAGAGACCCTCATCCCTGATATTATTGTAACCTCTGAACTTTTGACAAGAAGCAAACGGAACAGAGATAACGTGCTAACTTGAATTTGTGCAGCAAATGTTTACTGAGCATCAACTATAGGCCAGGTATCAGATCAGGGCCCCGCCCTCCTGGGGCCTCCTATCTCCCTAACCTATCCTTATCTACCATCTGTACTGCTGCAACCTTTTTTCTTTCAAGAGTAAAAACACCAGTGGATTTCTTCACTGATAAGATCAATCAATTTGTGTTCTACTGTAGCTGTCACTGTCACTATGTGGGCTAAATGTTCTCAGAGTAGCTCTGCCAGGTGAAAGTTTAAAACTGCTCCTTGGGGGATTGGGCAGAGGTGTTCTGTTGGTGT